CACCTCTGGCTTTTGCTACCTTAGTAGCGACGTGGTGCTTGAAAGACAGTGAGGGGTCAAAGTAGATGCCTAGCCACTTGATGCTTGGTTTTGGGTGAACTGCCTGATGGTTTGGGAGATTTAAAGTGAATTCTTCTGTGTTTGATTTGGTCCAGTGTATAAGCTCTGTCTTATCGAGGTCAAATGCGATGCTGCTCTCGTCTGCTAGTCTGTAGAGCTTGGTGGCTTCTGCTTCTAGTCTTTTGATGTTGTTTTTGAGGTGGCGAGAGGCTGTGGTAAGTGAGATGTCGTCGACATAGGAGATCCAGGTAACTGTAGTAGACTTGAAAAGGTCGCGAATGTAGATGAGAAAGAGGATTGGGGAAACAGGGCTGCCTTGCGGCACCCCAGAGTTGTTAGGTGAGAATTCTTGGATTTGACCGTCGAAAGCAAGTCGTAGCATACGTTGGTTAAGGAAAGTTGATACCCATGCTATTAAGTTGGTGGGGAGTTTCAATTCTTGGAGGATCTTGTAAAGCCGTTGCTTGGCTACGTGATCGTAGGCCCCCTTGACATCAATGAACAGAGTAGAAGCTTTCCACCCATACCTCTTGTGATTTTCAACTTCATTTGTAAGAAGAAGAGCTGCGTCGATGGCAGACCTTTTAAGTCTTCCTCCCATTTGTGAGTGGTGAAGCAGGTCGGTAGTCTCTGCGAGGTGGCTGAGGCGTTGTGCAATGATTCTCTCAGCAACTTTGCCAAGGCAGTTTAGTAGANGACCTTTTAAGTCTTCCTCCCATTTGTGAGTGGTGAAGCAGGTCGGTAGTCTCTGCGAGGTGGCTGAGGCGTTGTGCAATGATTCTCTCAGCAACTTTGCTAAGGCAGTTTAGTAGAGTGATGATTCTGTAGGACTTAGGGTGAGAGTAGTCTTCTTTGTTGGCTTTTGGCAGAACTGCTCCTGTTGCTTCTTTCCAGCACTTGGGGTGGTAGCCCGTGTCGATCATCCTAGAATAGACTTGGAAGAAGGTCTCGGGGTTGGCTTCGTAGGCTTTGGTGATGATATCTTGTGTGATTCCGTCTGGCCCTGGCGATTTTGAGAGGATCTTTGAAGAGCACGTCTTCTTTGTTGGCTTTTGGCAGAACTGCTCCTGTTGCTTCTTTCCAGCACTTGGGGTGGTAGCCCGTGTCGATCATCCTAGAATAGACTTGGAAGAAGGTAGCTAATAATTCTTTTAGTATAATAGCCTACGCTAATTGTCACGGATGCCAACAAAGGATAAAGTGTATACAGCTTTTGAATCAATTGCTAGAACTAAAACCGTAGGTACGAAGAAATCAAACTAAAGAGAGAAGAGAATCTGAAAGGAGCGAAGTTATTTAAGTTGTTCCAATGCCAAGTCTCGTCACGTGCTTGGCCAAGCGAATGAAATCCTGTCAAATGAAATCCAGCTCCGTCACAGCCCACGCGAGCTAGAATCCGCTTGACGTTAAATAGAAATAAATAAATAAATAAATATAAGATAGTACCTTACAAGTTTCTTCTAGTTTATTATAGATTAAGTTCCTCTCTATTTAAATCGGCTTCTAACGTAAATAGATGTCACAAATCACGTGTTAGCATGTGACGAGTGAAGACCAGGCGGCGTCCTGACAGGTTAAGCACTATCATGCTCTTATAGCGAATAGGGATCGGCTAGACTAGCTAAGCGATCCAAGGATTTCATTATAGTCACGTGACGGATCTTTGGATCTGGATGGATCTTGGGGATCCTAGGATCCAACCAGATCCATGAGCAAGAAGGTTCTATATAAGACTGGCACGTCTGCCATTAGATAGGAGCTTCGTGCTCAACTTAGTTATCAATCTTATCATATTAGTTTGACATCTTTGATACAAGTAACGAGTTCACTTCCAAGTGAACAACCCGATAGTCTTCTTCTTATCATAGCATACCAACCAGCGAACACCCAGCCAAGTTTAGTTAGCCAGTTTGAGTATTCGTTACAATAGAGCTCCTAGAACTTATAACTTCTTATAATAATATACGTAGCCCTTTATATTAACTTTATAGTTACTTACTTAGATTTTTATCTTAACTTTACTTAGAAAGGATTAGTTACTATTCTAAATAAAGTAGAGGATAGTTTTATATAGTATTCTGTGAGACGGTTAGCGGGGCCCAGGATCCGGGGGCGTCTGCCCGGGTGAGTTTAGCGGTGCTCGTTCTGGTAACGCGCGGGCCCGTGCGTCGCCTTTTTCGGTAAGGCGTACTCGCTTCGCTCCGACGCTGCTTTTCGACGTCGTCCATAAGAACTCTCTCTCTCCCCTTCCACTTTGGTCGTAACTCTCTTACCTGCTATCTTCACCCTCACTCATGGTCCTGTCTTTTCCGCCTTCTATCCGCGGCGCCTAGTCTGCCTCATTTCGATGCTGGTCTCATCTCCCTCCCTACCTTTCTATACGAGCTAACTTATGCTAAAGTGGATAGACACTCTCCGAGGACGATTGTCGGCTCATTTCATCTAGCTGCGAGGGCACGAATTTGATCAACGACTAAGCAGCTGCGTTAAGTAAGAGAGTCAATGTTTCAAGCACTTAGTCAATAGGTTTCAAACGCTCTACATCTAGAATTCCTCTTCTCGCGAGATCTTTCGACCTGCCGCGCATCTCGTCGTCTCCTTTCGATTCTCTAATCCTTGATCTGTTACTTTCCTCGTTGCCTCTCTCCCTACGGCATTACTCATGATTGTGTAGGCCTGGATGCTAGAAATCCCGGCTGTAGCACTATTGCAGGAGCAACGACGCAAGCCTTATCCCGGAGTCGCCTCCCTACGCAAGCCTATAACCGGATATGAACCTTCACCTACATGCCCAATAGCGGAAAGGCCTCGCAGTCTCGAGACCGGATACTGGACATTACGACTGCAGAAGGTGGAGGAGCTGAACTTTTCTGCTCTCCTAGTTCTGGGAAATGGCCAGTTAGAAAAAAGCCTCCTCGCCAGCGCTACCCCTTTCCCTGCACGCTCGGTTGTTCTGGTCTCTACCTGCGCCGTCAACCCCTCTTCCAGGCCCGCTCGGAATGCTCCCCCATCGGCCTCGCCGCAGCTAACCACTATGGCATAGCCTGTTTGAAGCCCTGATCCTCGATCTATCCCTCTGGATTCGATTCTCTTGATTATCGCGAGGGTGATCATTCCTTTAAGGTCGCGTTGTATTAGCTAAGATACGAACATGAGCCCCTGCTCAGCTCCTCGCTGTTGTACTATTACGATCCTCGCAGCAAGGTTTTCTTGGTGCTTACGATAGTGGAAGCCTGTCGGAACTACCTGGCCAATCGAAGAAATGCCGCACGACAACACAGTGAGCTTCTGCCTTCTTCGCCGAGAATTGCGCAGCGGAGCGGAGCAGTAGAAGCGGGATTGTCGCTCGTCATGTCAGCGTGATGTTGAGAAGAGTAGCGTATGAGAATGGCTAGATCTAGCTTCGCATCTCAACTTCCTAGCCATTTTCCCCCACCCGTTTCAGCGTTGAACCTCGACCGTGGGCGATAACTTGCCTTGTTCAAATGCCGCGTCACAAAAGTGGAAAGCGAGCTTTAGGCAAGAGCAGTTAATTGGAGGAAAATTTGTAGAGAGGGGTTATAACGGGACAAGTGTCTCTGATGGGCATGCAGATAGGAATGTGGAGCTGCTTTCACTTGGAGATATCTATAAATCTCAGCATGTTTGAAATCCGTAGTAGCACAGGTGTGATAGCTATATAAACCTCGGTGTTTCCGCCTCGAAATCCTCAGAATTCCACTCCAAAGCGAATTCGAGCATTCAGCCCTCTGCATACTATGGACAACATTGTCTTTTACCAAACACCCTCGGCGAATAGCCAGCCTCCTCTTTTGCCAGGTGCACGCACGTCTTTGAATAGTTCTAGCGCATCTAGTACATCTTTTCCCGTTCTCCAAACTACACCACATTTCAATCAACAGAATGATCTTCCAAAACATGATATGACCAAATCCCGAGATGTGAGACATTCATTACAGAAAAGTCACTCAGATACCAGTCAAATGCAAGGTACGTGTCGAGATTTCCTATCGCGATTATCGTATCTAACATTTGTGGAGGAAATTTGACAGCAACACAAAATCCCCTAGACAGCGAGCTTCTGTTGGTCATGAAGCAGAAGAGCAACTTATCTAGCACAGACCCGAGCTGCGACGACAATAATGACAATGACGACTTTCCTGATATAGATGAGCTCCTATCAAGTATGAAGCAGAAAAGCGTGCCAGCAAGCGCGAGACCGAACCACGGTAACACAGCTGAAAAGGTCGATAACGGAACCCGACGTGATAGTCCTCTTGATTCTAGCTGCTCAACAGAAGGAACCACTCAAGGTAAGCACACCAAGTTTCTTAATTTGGCTATTCTTACTCATACAATCCCAGATCCAATTATCCTCAGTGACGATGAATCTACAGGCGCCGAGTCTGAAACCGACTATACTAATCCTGACTTCGACCTCACAGATAACAGCTATCCTAATACTTCACGCATTACAGAGAGCGAAGTGGCGGACGGTGATGGCTTCGGCTCAAGAGCGGCACTCACGTCTCATTTTCTTGTCGCCGACCACCAAGACGACAATATCCAGCTTCGACTCCCTGCTGACCGACCAAGGTCCGCCTCCCCTAGCTACGGGTCTATCGCATACCAAGCCAGCAAACTGATAGACACGGACAACATACAAAGAAGCATGAATCTCGACGTTACTAAGGAGTTGGAGAATAAGAGCTCTCATGTCTCTACAAACGGGCGAGAGTTATCTGCTGTTTCCAATACAGTCTCTGATAGCAACATTCCTAAGCAATCCCTGCAGCTGGACTTAGCAGCGGCCTCTCCCCAGGAGTCAGACTTAAAGAACGATCATCTGCCAAAGCGTCGCCGCTGGGGTGTTACCGAAAACGTCCGCCGCAAAAGTCCTCGCACAATAGCTCATATCAGATTGGCTAGTACCGTTGCTGCCGCACTCAGATCTAGCGCCAAACCCCAGTCACGCGCTCAAAGCACAACCCTAGACCGGGAAATGGTTGATGATGGAAGCGCCGATGATTCTGATGACGAATATTACAACGATGGGAGCGACGCCACTGGCTCTCAGAGAGGCTGTCGATCACGGAAGCGGGTTAGGCAGACGAAGGATTTAGGGAACAGTAATGCTGCAGCCTAACCCACTCATTCCCCTGATGTCTCATGTCAAGCTACAGAAGAAACCTCGTGCGGTAGTATGCAGGAGAGCGAAGAGATTCCCATCCATGGATCCTTTGCACTAAAGATAGTGGAGTCAAAAGTTCTATACTGTCTCACATTTTCTCAAGAATCATCACCACTTTTTCAAAGCCAAGGGCAACAACAAGATAGTCCCACCGACCCCGAAGAACCTCAGCCGGCTGTTTCAATCACAGACCCTAGTCAGGAATGGGGAATCCACAAAATCACTGGTCAGAAAATAGTTAGAGGTGAGAGGCACTTTCGGGTAGAATGGAATGAGACGTGGATGCCTGAATCTGAACTAGCTGGATTCAAGGAAATAGTGGATACCTTCATAACGGAAGTTGGGACTGGGACCGGAGGGAAGAAGCGGCCTCAGAAGCGAAGTCGGCTAGCTACTGGACTGCCTCATGCTCGGGATGAAGAAGAGCCAAAGAAGCGACGTGGTCGATCTCAGAAGCAGACGTGAGTTGGCAAGGATGTCTGGGCTTTAGGAGAGGATTAATAGTATGGCGGCATAAAGGCATCAATGCATTATTACAAAGGCAGCAAACTTTGCTTACGCTCTAATATTGTGACAAGCATGGATGGAATAGCTTCTTAAAGGGTTTTTATTAAGATGTAAATTACTACTTAAACTTAGAGAATATCTTTCGAAATCTAGAAGGTCGTTTCTCGCTCTCTTTTCCCGGTTTCACTTGCTTACTTCGGAGCTCTGGATCCGATTTAGAGACTGTTCCTATTATTACAATTAGCTATTTGAAATAAAATTAACTTAATGCTAATACGAGGCTTTAAATTCTTACTACTTCAACTATCCAAAGATGCTATATTTTGCTTCACGGTCTTAGACTTTATATGATCTGGTCCAAGGGCCTTTTCGTAGCCTTGCAATGCCCGCTCGTACATCTGCTCGGCCACCAGCTTGCCTTGATTGGAGTAGAGGGCGCCTAAGTTGTTGACTGTACGAAGGGTCGATGTGTGATCTGGTCCAAGGGCCTTCTCTGTGCCTTGCAACGCCCGCTGGTACATCTGCTCGGCTTCCACCAGCTTGCCCTGATCACTAAAGCCTCTTGCGAGTTGGAAAAATATCCACCCTTGTGAGGGTTGGAACCCATGATGGAGGCTCGGGCCATGCCCTCGCTAAGCACTGACCAAAGTCCCCGCTCAGCATTGGCCATTGCTCCACTGCTAAATTAGTTTCTCCTTTTCTACACTTTTCTACTCTATTCTTTTGACGTCACGTATTTGTCAAACAGTTTCTTGGAAGACTCCAGAAACTCTTCCTCTCTCTATATATAGAAGAGATTGCATGTATGTAGTCTTCACGCACTTCTTAATTGAATATTCGAAACCACACCTTTGAGCTATTCGAGGTCTGGCCTCTCACAACCCTTGATGAATATCACTTACGGAATCCTACTCAGCCAGTCTATTATCGCAAGTAAACGGGTAGAGTTGTAGAAGGTGTGGCAAAATCCGCCTCTGTAACAGTTGATCCTCGTAAGTTGATATAGAAGGGAGCGCTATTGCTAATAAACCGGTTGCTGCTATAACCAGATCCTTTCTTTCGCTTCCTTCAGATAGTAAGAAGCACCATTTGTGTAAGACAGCGTGCATCGAGTGACTAGCCGTGCTTTCTCGCGAATCAACAAGTGAGTATCGCGAAAGCATTCTCATCGCTCTCAAGAAACTGAGCTGATCTCTGGCCACCCGAAGCAGCCATTCGGATACCTCAATATCAAGCGTAGGAAGAATTTGTGAAGCAGAAGAAAGCATCTCATACCACAAGTCTGTATTATCTAAGAAGGCCCACAACCGTAATAAACCTGCTGCGTCCTGATTTTGGCTTACTACTTGATTGTATGACATTTTCCACGTTGTTAAAATGGTTCGATCCGAGTACTCCTGTAAGGGAAACTCATCTTGATCTTGCATTAATTTATCCCATGTGTGATTGTAGTGTTTTATATAATGCGAGAGTGTAATGTTCGTTTCTCGTAAGTACGCTCCAGCTTGTGTCAGTGCGAGAGGGAGCCCTTGGAGTCGATCAAGTATTAAGGGAGCCTCTGTCGAGCCTATAGTAATAGTAAGACTACATATAGATATAGAATACAATTAGGTTCTATTACTTACCTTGAAGTAATCGATCTGCGTTATTCTCTAAGATAGTCATCGCTTCTTCATCGTCAACAATGCTTAGCTTAGCTGCTACAGCAGGTGCCCTCTCGTGAATCAACAAGTGAGTATCGCGAAAGCATTCTCATCGCTCTCAAGAAACTGAGCTGATCTCTGGCCACCCGAAGCAGCCATTCGGATACCTCAATATCAAGCGTAGGAAGAATTTGTGAAGCAGAAGAAAGCATCTCATACCACAAGTCTGTATTATCTAAGAAGGCCCACAACCGTAATAAACCTGCTGCGTCCTGATTTTGGCTTACTACTTGATTGTATGACATTTTCCACGTTGTTAAAATGGTTCGATCCGAGTACTCCTGTAAGGGAAACTCATCTTGATCTTGCATTAATTTATCCCATGTGTGATTGTAGTGTTTTATATAATGCGAGAGTGTAATGTTCGTTTCTCGTAAGTACGCTCCAGCTTGTGTCAGTGCGAGAGGGAGCCCTTGGAGTCGATCAAGTATTAAGGGAGCCTCTGTCGAGCCTATAGTAATAGTAAGACTACATATAGATATAGAATACAATTAGGTTCTATTACTTACCTTGAAGTAATCGATCTGCGTTATTCTCTAAGATAGTCATCGCTTCTTCATCGTCAACAATGCTTAGCTTAAAGCCCCTTCCATATCTTTGAAGATTGGACAACCGACTTGTGATGATGATTGATCCATGGTCTGCATCAGGGAAAAAATCCTTTACGTCGTATGATTGTAGATCTTGGCCATTTGTATGGTCGCGGTCGATGTTATCGAAGATAAGAAGCCACTGTCGATTTGAGGGGAGCGACAGCCATTGATGTACGCCCCTTATCACAGCTTCAACGTCAATCTTTGGATTTGAAAGCTCTTGCGCTATATCCGCTGTCAATTCATCTCGTGGCAGCTTGCGTGCGATATCGACTAGTGACTGACACAAACTGTCCCTCGATGACCCATTGAGCCAGAACACGGCGTTATACCTCTGGTGATGCTTCCGGGCAAACTCAATCGCGAGCTGTGTCTTTCCTATTCCACCTAAGCCGTGAATTACGTAGACTTTGCGCCGAGGTCTTGAAGGAGCAGGAAGAACAGAGTCCTCGAGTAGCTTTATCTCACTTTCACGTCCAACAAAGTGACTTACTGACGGGACGCCTTTGAGAGAAAAAGGAACCTGGTGTTTTTTGTTGGCTACTAAGGTTGAGGATTAACAATTAAGACCCTATTCTTTACTATATATAGTGTTCAAGAAACAAGGGGGTATGTTCACATTTAGCTCGTTCTATGACTAGTTGAGGAGCTACTTTAGCCATATCCTGAATTACCTCGGACACAGTTAAGAAGTCTTCTTCTGTCGGCTTCCCAAATTTGTTCATATTAAAGTGGGTTCGGGAGAGGGAGTAATTTTAGTTGACTCCGAGGGGTCAAGACAGCCTGAGCTCTCATTCACCACAAATCTCTAACAAATTGTTAGCAACTTAACAGTAAATATGAACTTGACATACTATTCGTCCTTGTCCGCCAACTATAACTCCAACATTGCTCGGTTTCATCTCGAAGAAACAGGTGACTCGTGCCTTGTCTGCTTGTAACCGTGTCTTACAGAAGCTATCAACAAGGTCTTGAAGGAATTCGTTCCCTGGTTCAAGTACCCGTAGTACTTCTGTCTGGGTTTGATCCTCGTTGTATTCCCTTTGTGCAGCTTCAAGCATCTCACTCTGTTTCATGCCCTCTGATCCATTGAATGGTGTGCCGAAGAACACGAGCCCAGTTGTAGACTCAAATATGCCCGTCCACTCATCTTTATAGTATTGCGCTTTGAGGAGAGCCTACTAATGTTAGTTAAAGGCAATAAGAGGGTCTACAGGACCAACCTTCAAGACTACTAGTCCGCCAAAGCAATGCGCTATCATTATCAATGGGCGAAGGGGAAACTCCTAAAATATATTGTATTGGCGATTGGATCAACCTAAGCTGAGCTACTTACCTTTCTTTCACGTCTCAAGGTGAGAAGGAGCCGATCTGCAACAGTCGTCGTCTTCTGGGAAATTGCATTCTCTCCAAACCACTCAGATTCGTACCCATATCGCAGTATCCGGGCATTTGGGGCGGCTTGTGGTAACATGCCCTCGTGGGTAAGCCAGTTAACGCAGCATGGCGCGTCTGGTGTGCCGACATTCTTACACCAGGTATCATCAGGGTGGGCACCAATGCCATGGATTGCGACAATACTGTAAACCTGGTTAGAGATAATTGAGAAGATAAGTTTGGGAAGGACATGCTCAACGTCAACGGCCTGTGCTTGTGCGAGTGGGTCGCGGAGAACTGTCAAGCCGGTCGCATCTTCCACGGGCCGAACCTTATTTACTGTTAGTGTAGAATGCTAGTAGGGCGTTACAACATACCATCCTGGATGTCGATGATTGAGATATTGTAGTCAAAGACAAAAAACGTAGAAGAGTTGTTCTTAACGTTATAGCCTCGTGCGGCTAAAATAGTAATATCCTAGCATACAACCTTGAGCTTGATTAGATTATGTCATATAATAAATGTACTCTTTTTATGAAGGAGTGGAAGGTTTTATATAAGCCAACCAAAGAATAATAAAGCAGAGTGATAGAAGTGCCGCCCCAATTAGTACAACGGCACTAAAAGAACGAAAGGCAGGCCATAACGACAGCCATTGTGTCGTAGCAACCTGATCAACCGCTAGCCCAACCTGCATAGAATTTAATACAGTCGAGACTATAGCAAACATGAAGAGAATGGGCCCATAGAGCCTCGCGAAATAATCTCCATATTAGCCATGGATTTGTTCAAAGTGGAATTTGCGGAGGAAGAATGGCGCGTAGAAGTTTAGGCGGGAAAGCCTCAGCTCTCCATAGCGATATCGGCCCGACACGTTGGCGTCCTTGATCGGGTCCAAGGCAGAAATGAAGGCCACCCAACCCACCCCATGGGGAACAAGGCAGAGGTGGTCCTGCTTCGCGATGTGGAAGTCAGACTCGTGTTGAATCAGGTACCGATAGGTTCGCAGATATCCCAACGCTGCTTTTCGAATGGCGTCTCGACGGCCACCGAGACAAGTAGATTGATTGACAAGAAACATTTCCCAGAATCTATACGAGAGCAGGTATTTGGGCAGAGGCTTGATGTATATTCGATCGTGGAACCAAACTAAATNACAAGTAGATTGATTGACAAGAAACATTTCCCAGAATCTATACGAGAGCAGGTATTTGGGCAGAGGCTTGATGTATATTCGATCGTGGAACCAAACTAAATAGAGACGAGGTTCTTCGGTGATGATGATCTCACGACCCTTTACACGTTGTCGATGCAATGGGTTGATATTACTGCTCGAGTAGGTTGACATGACCTAAAGATGCGGGGCAAAGGCCTCTAGGTCCTTGCTCCAGAATTCATCATCAAGGAACTGCGCTATCCTAGGAAGGTCGTTGAGCATAAAACAAGGATGCCAAGGGAGAGAGGGATTTATTTGTGCTGTGTCATCTTCAGCCTCCAGATCGGTACATAGCTGCTAGCTTTGGAGAAATGGAGGTGACTCAGGAATGCGTTCTATCGTAGATAGAGGAGGGATGGATGTAAGAATTTGATCTTCTAAAATAAATATTCCATGGGCAGACTTTAGGCAGAATGAGATGGGGGCGGCTCAGCCGCAATTTGTGGCTCCAGTTTACCTTTTCAGCTACAGGTGGCAGGCTGCAAATGGTGCAAAGTTGGCCATCCTTTATTCGTACCATCTTTTGATTATTATCAAACACCAATCTCTAATTCAGTCGCCCAAAACATTGGTTGATTGCTACTATGGTATGCCCTAGTCTGATACCAGCAGACGAGTATGCTAATTGATCAAGGTTCGGCCCGTGACGGACGACGACACAGGGCTAAGGACTCTGTACGAACCCGCAGTGGAGACAGCTGGAGGCCAAACACCCATTGTTGAGTACGCTGCCTTCGTCCTCGGATGTTTCCATTCTCTAATACTTTATAGTATCGTCGCTATCCATGGCATCGGTTCCCACCCCGACGATACCTGGAGCAAGAATGTCGGCACACCCGAAGCGCCATGCTATGTCAACTGGCTCAAGGATGCAAATATGCTGCCATCAGTGGTACCAAACGCTCGGATAATGCAGTTCGGGTACATGTCCCGATGGTTTGGGGAAGAGGCTATTCGCCAGAAGACAACCACTGTTGCGAACCGTCTACTTATCTCCCTTAAACGCGAAAGAAAGGTTAATCCCCTACGTTCTTCTACTTATCTCAAAGTACTAATTTTGCTTCTAGGGTTCCACTCTCC